CCCCCCCCCCCGAACAAAAAAAAACGGGGATCGAACCGACAATTTCGAGGCCCCTTTCCAAAAATGTGACCGGTAGCGCCAAAAAAGATTTCCGGCCTGCGCTCAAGCGCGGACCGCCTTGGGGTTTCAAAATTTGAAACTCCGACTCAGGGCATTACTCACCTACTTCAAAAGGCAGTTGCAGAGGAAAGTCCCCCCAGCCATCTGCTATTTGCGCCGTCCTGCCCGTCGCCGTTCGCCACCCTGCTGCGCCGCCGTTCTGCCCGTCGCCATCTTGCCTGTTGTTGTTGCCGCTGAGGAGGAGGAGCATCGTCGTTGCGGCCATCAAGGAGGACCAGCCCATCCCGCCCGTCGCCATACTGCTGTCCCGACGGTGAGTGTCACCAGCCAATCGTCCTCCTCCCCCTCATCCCCCTCCGCTGCTCCTCCTCCTCCTCCACCTCCCCCTTGTCTCCCCCCTCTTCTGCTTCTCCTCGTCTCCCCCCTCTTCTGCTCCTCGTCTTCGTCCTCCTCCACACTTCCTCTCGTCGCCATCCTGCCCGTCCACTTCTCCTCCTCTTATCTCTCGTTGTACTCCCCTCCATCCTCGCCGTCCTCCTCACTTCCTCCTGTTATCCTCCCTCTCCCCCCCCCTTTCGCCGTCCTCCTCTCCAGCCCGTCCTCTTCCTCCTTCCCCTCGTTCTCCTCACTTCCTCGCGCCGTCCAGCCCGCCGTCCCCCAGGGCAGGTAATAAGTTCGTTTTTGTCGGGTTTGTCGGATCGATCGGATTTCGGGCGGGAAATGAGGGGGCTTCATTCTCTTTCTCCTCTCGCTCTTCATTCATGTGAAGGGGATAACTCGCACGAGGACTGTTTTTGAAAGCCCTCTCTGTTTGAAAGCCCTCTCACTCTTCATTAGCATGGGTGGAGAACTGGAGGGAGAAGCGATGTAGAAGGGAGGGAGGGAGGGACAAGGGAGAAGGGGAAGGGAGGACGTGTTGAGAGGGGTAGAGGTTTTTTTCTTTTTATCTTTTTTTCTTTTTTCTTTTTTGCATTCCGTCTGTCCTCCATATTCCCTCAAATTATCTTCCATCTTTCCTCCATTTGTCATCCATCTCTGCTCCATTTCTCCTCCATCTTTCCTCCATCCCTCCTCCATCTCTCCTCTATCTCTCCTCCATCCCTCCTCCATCCCTCCTCCATTTCTCCTACATCTCTCCTCCATCTTCCTCCATCTCTCCTCCATTTCGCCTACATCTCTAGTCCATCTCTCCTCCATCCTTTCTCCGTCTTTCCTACTATTGTCTCCCATCTTTCCTCCGTCCTCCTCCATTTCTCCTACATCTCTCGTCCATCTCTCCTCCATCTTTCTTCCATCTCTCCTCCATTTCTCCTACATTTGTCGTCCATCATTCCTCCATCTCTCCAACATCTCTCGTCCATTTCTCCTACATTTGTAGTACACCTCTCCTCCATCTTTCCTCCATCTTTCCTATTGTTACAGTCATCTCTCCTCCATCTCTCCTCCATCTCTCCTACATTTCTCCTCCATCTCTCCTCCATCTCTCCTCCATCTCTCCTCCATTTCCTCCATCTCTCCTCCGTCTCTCGTCCATCTGTCCTCCATCTCTCTTCCATCTCTCCTCCATCTCTCCTCCATTTCTCCTCCATCTCTCCTCCATTTCTCCTACATCTGTCGTCCATCATTCCTCCATCTCTCCACCATCTCTCGTCCATTTCTCCTACATCTGTAGTACACCTCTCCTCCATCTTTCCTCCGTCTTTCCTCCATCTTTCCTACTATTACACCCATCTCTCCTCCATCTCTCCTCCATTTTTCCTCCATCTCTCCTCCATCTCTCCTCCATCTCTCCTCCATCTCTCCTCCATCTCTCCTCCATCTCCTCCATCTCTCCTCCATCTCTCGTTCATCTCTCCTCCATCTCTCCTCCATCTCCTCTCCATCTCTCCTCCATCTCTTCTCCATCTCTCCTCCATCTCTCCTCCATCTCCTCCATTTCTCGTACATCTCTCGTCCATCTTTCCTCCATCTCTCCACCATGTCTCATCCATTTCTCCTACATCTGTAGTACACCTCTCCTCCATCTTTCCTCCATCTTTCCTACTATTACGCCCATCTCTCCTCCATCTCTCCTCCATCTCTCCTCCATTTCTCCTCCATCTCTCCTCCATCTCTCGAAGTCGGGAGCGCAGCTGAGTACAGGATGTACATGTGGAGCAGGACTGATATTCTGGCTCTGTTATTGCTGCGTGCAGATCATCATGTCGAGCCGCAAGCATGAAGCCAGCCTTGTCAAGCGCCATTTTGATGTCCTTGGCCCCGCGGGTAAGGATCCTTCGAAGGGGGGAAAGTGGTGGCTCTGCCATTACTGCGATCTAAATTTTTCAGGCAATCTCAATCACCTGAAGGAACATTTCACGAAGGGGATTTGCGCAGTTGAGAAATCAACGAAAACATTGACCGCAGAGGAAATATTGAGAAGGAAGGAAGGATTGCAACAGCCAAGGATAGACTCGGGCATGCCGAGGGATGGTGCCAATGCCCTACCTATTGTCACCAGTTTGGTGGCTGCTCCTATGGGCGGGGGTTTGGTCGAAGGGGTGGGCGACGCTTGTGGCGGAGCGGCGGGCGACACTTGTGACGAAGGGGTGGGCGGCAGCGGGCCAGGTATCACGGTGCATCGCACAGGTGCATCTGCTGCACCTGCTACACGAATGCCACAGATGGTGTTGGAGGAGACCGACAGCGTCGTCACAAAGAATGAGCAGATGTTAAGAAGTGTAGACCGTTGGATGACGTGCACGAACCAACCATTCAACATGGTTGAGAACGAGTTCTTCAACGACATGGTGAACGCCATACGAGACGCCCACCCATCATGGAGACTGCACTCGAGAGAGGCAACGTGTAATGGCCGATTGTTCGGACAGCACCAGAGGGCGATCGAGGACGTGGGGAGGTTGGCGAAGAAGTGGGCTCGCACAGGCTGTATGGTGCAAGTAGATGGGTGGTCTGACCGGCGGGGACGACCACACGTAAATGTCATGGTGTCCTCTCCCATCGGCACCGTCTTTTGGAAGTCGGTGTGCGTAGCGGGAAAGGACAAAGACGCTAGTGCGTACTACGGAATACTCACCGCTGCGATTGAGGAGATTGGCCCAAGAAGTGTGGTTGGGGTGATCATGGATAATGCCCGGGTTTGTGTGAAGGCCGGGAAGTTGGTGGAGAAAAAATACCCGTGGATATTTCGGGTGGGTTCCACGGCGCATGCCCTTGACCTCGCATTGGAGGACATGGACAAGCGCATTCCGTGGTTTGCAGAGACTGTGAAGAGGGGGAATGTGTTGGGGAAGTTCGTGATGAACCACGACAAGGTTCGAGCACTCTTCCTGACCAAATCGGGTGGTGTGCAGATTAAGAGGCCGGGTGTCACTCGATTCGCGACCAACATCATCATGTTGCAGTCGTTGTGGGACAGGAGAAACGCCCTGAAATTGACTGTGGTTGCCAGCGGGTGGGTCTCCTCCATAATGCCGCCCCACTTGCGTTCTCAATTTGAGGAGGTGACAGTGACTATCTTGGATGGAGGCTTTTGGGAGCGGGTGGACAAGGCCTTCAGGACCACGGACCCCATCGTAACGCTATTGAAGCTCGTCGATGGTCCGGGCGCAACAATCGCCAAGGTTTATCATCAAATGGATAGTGTGGTGGAGTCGATTCGCAAGTTGGACATCTTGACAGACTTCGAGAAGGCACAGGTCGAGTCGATCCTCATGGATCAATGGGCGTTCATGACTTCAGAGTTGCATTGTGCAGTAGCCTTCTTGGACCGGAGTACAGATCGTCGAGCTCCTTCAAAGACACCGAGATCCGAGTCGGGTTCAACATATGGTTGTACACCTGGTGCATTGACGAGATGTTCAATGACGTGAGCTGGCAGGTTGACGAGTGGGTGAATTTGAGGGGGGGCTTGCAATCAGAGGAAGCTTTGCGTGCAGCACGCACCAAGACCCCAGAGATGTTGTGGGATGAGTTTGGCTCGCGGCTGCATCTTTTGCAGCCCCAAGCGATCAGACTGTTGGGCCACGCAAGCTCATCTGCGGCATGCAAACGCAACTGGAGTCTGCATGAGTTCGTTTTTGGCAGGAGGAGGACGGAGCTTATGCCCACCTGCCTATCAAAGCTCGTCTACAAGAATTGGAACCTCCACCTGCAGTGGAGGCAAGAGCACGGACGTGGTGTGGATGATGTCCACATTCCGTGGGTGGAGGAAATGTCGAACGCCGAGTTGAAGGAGGAGGCAGAGCAATTCAACAATGACGCGTCGGACAAGGAAGAACAGTCAGAGGACGCGTCGGACAAGGAAGACGAGTCAGAGGACGCCGAGTGGCGGGAATGACGCGTCGGACAAGGAAGACGAGTCAGAGGACGACGACCATGGCGAGGAAGGTGGTTGCGCAATGACGAGGTGGACAATGCAATGGACCAGGAGGAAGGCCTTGCGCACATAGATATATGCACGAACAACTGACACTTCAACACTCCACCGGGGAGGCAGCTGGAGCGTGCCTTGCGAAGGTTGTCGGGCCATCAGCGCCCAGCACCTGAAGTGTGGTATAACAAGAAGGACCGAGAGCTTGCGCTGCGGCATCCATAGAAGGTGGGTCTTGCAATCGTCGCCCGAGGAAATCGTCGTGTTCCGTTGGCGTGTAAAGAGTCAAGTTGGAGCAATAAAAGACCGGGTACACGAGCAAGAGGGCGGGCAGCTGAATGATGAAGGAAGGTCCTTCAGGTGCATCCCCAGTGGGTGCCACGATCGACCAGGGCCCCATCCATTTCGGGAGGAGCTTGCGAGAGATATCTTGTTCAAGGCTGAACTCCGCGACGCAAACCCAAACAAGATCACCGGCGGGGAATGGGCAAGGAAGACGTTGCCGAATGGTCTGTTGGCTCATGCGTTGTTGCGTCTTAGCCATCTGGTCGCGTGCCTTGACAAGTAGCTCTTGCATCCGACGCAAGAAAAAAAGATGGTTGTCGCTCTTGGCCGCTCATGGAATGATTGTGTTCAACGGGGAAGTGATCGGCGAGCCGTGCTCGAACCCGAAGGGCGACATCCCGATAGTCGGGTCGATCGACGAGTTGTATGCCAACTCGACATCCGGCAACCGCTCAACCCAATCCTTTTGGTCGGGACGGATGAGAGTGCGAAGGAGGACCTGTGCGATTTGATGCGCCCTCTGCGTTTGGCCATCGGTTTGGGGGTGGCGAGCCGAACTCTGCTTGAGAGATGAGCCCCCTCGTTTGATGAGCGCCAACCAAAAATCGGACATGAACCGAGTGTCGCGGTCGCAGATGATTTCCTTGGGGTAACCCTTGGTTCGAATCCAACCGGCGTAAAGAACCTCGGCCAACTCCGGTGCCTTGGCATGCTAGCGGCAAGGCAAAAACATGGCGAACTTCGTGAGTTGGTCGACCATCGTGAGAATCCCATCCACACCTGTCTTGTGCTTGGGGAACGGTCCGTAATGTCCATGGCAATCGCTTCCCTTCGGCGCAAGGGTACTGGTAATGGTCGCAACTCGTCGTATGGACGATGGTTGCGGGATTTGCAGCGTCGACAAACCTCGCATGACTCACAATAGCATGTGACGTCGCCGAGAAGGCCAGGCCACCAAAAACGCTCGTGAAGTCGGCCAATCGTGTGATCGACTCCAAAGTGTCCGGTGGCGGGAGCATCATGGAACTCGCCAAGAAGCCGTGTATGCAAGTGAGAGTCACTCGGTACGCAAAGAAGGTCCTTCCCCCACGTGTGGACAAGCAAGTACCCCTCTTGGATCCGGTAGTGAGAAGGCGCCGGATTAGGAGAGGAGCAATTCGCATACTTGTCGCGAAACTTGGGGTCGCCTTAGTAGCCGCGGATGAAGCTGTCCCGCAGGTCGTCGTCGATCTCGAAGGTCGAATAGACTGTGGTACAATGATCCGGACGCCATGAAAGAGCATCCGCAAAACGGTTGGACTTCCCCGGAATGTGATCGAGAAAGAAGTCGCATTGGTTGATGAAAGTCATCCAACGGGCGATGGTGCTATTGACGGTGTCTTGGGTCTTGTAGAAGACCAGCGGATTGTTGTCCGTTACCCATCGGAATTGACTTCGACCAAGGAGGAAGTCTCGCCACCGCTTGAGCGCGTGGACGAAGGCTAGGAGCTCCTTGTGTGCATCATCAATGGAGTGCACGACGAGCACTTTCTTGCTAAAGTACTCGACCAGGTGCCAGTCCACGCCATCGTGTTGTTCGAGGACGGCACCAATGCCATAGCCGGACGCATCCGTAGTGACGTGCGTTGGCAATAGCGGATCATATATGTGCAAGACCTCCACAGATAATAGCGCGACTTTGAGAGCCAAAAATGATTCCCACGCATCCTCTCCAAAGTCAAACGGTCGATCCTCGCATTGAAGCTTGGTCAAGTGGGCCGCGATCTTCGAGTATCCCTTGATAAAACGTTGGTAGTAGCCAGCAAGGCCAAGGAACGAACGAATATCCGTGACGTTCCGCGGCTCCGACCACTCTTGGATGGCTTGAATCTTGTCTGACCACGGACTGATGCCCTCCGGTCTGACAAAATGGCCCAAGTATTCCAGCTCTTGCCGGACAAATTCGCACTTGTCGCGGCTGGCTTTGTACTTTGCGCGGCGGAGCGTCTCCAATACTCGTCGAAGGTGCTCAAGATGATCCTCGAAAATCCAACTATAGACGAGAATGTCGTCGAAGTAGAGTAGCACGAACCGGTCCAACATCGCATAGTAAAAGATCAACTAAGTGTGAACCGGGACATCACAACACACATGAACTTGACAATGAGAAGGTTGAACTAGTGGAAAGTACGTGCACATGTAAAAAGGATCAACCAAGTATGAACCAAAACACTACACTACACATGAATTTGACAATGAGGAGATTGAACTAGTGAAAAGCACATGCACATAAAGGAAAAATCAACCAAGTATGGACCGGAACACTACACCACGCATGTACTTGACAATGGGAAGATTGAACTAGTGAAAGGTCCATCAACTAAGCACGAATGGGAACATCACAACACTCATGAACTCGACAATGAGAAGGTTGAACTAGTGAAAAACACATGCGCATGGAGGAGAGATCAACCAAGTATGAACCGGAACACTACAACACACATGATTTTGACAATGAGGAGATTGAACTAGCGAAAAGCACATGCACATAGAGGAAAAGCCAACTAAGCATGAACCGGAACATCACAACATACATGAACTTGACAATGAGAAGATTGAACTAGTGAAAAGCCCATGCACATAGAGGAAAGGTCAACTAAGTATGAACCGGAACATCACAATACACATGAACTTGACAATGAGAAGGTTGAACTAGTGAAAAGTACGTGCACATGTAGAACAGATCAACCAAGTATGAACCGGAACACTACACTACACATGAATTTGACAATGAGGAGATTGAACTAGTGAAAGGCATATGCACATGGAGGAAAGATCAACACACATGAACTTGACAATGGACTAATGAATAGCACATTCACATGGGGGAAAGATCAACTGAGTACGAACCGGAACCCATGAACTAGACAATGAGAAAATTGAACTAGTGAAAGGCATGTGCACATGGAGGAAAGATCAACTAAGTATGAACCGGAACACTACAACATGCATGAACTTGACAATGAGAAGATTGAACTAGTGAAGGACACATGCACATGGAGGAAAGATCAACTAAGTATGAACCGGAAAATCACAACATACATGAACTTGACAATGAGAAGCAAGAAGTAGTGAAAGGCGCTTGCACATGGAGGAGATATCAACTAAGTAAGAACCGGAACATCACAACATACACAAACTTGACAATGAGAAGATTGCACTAGTGAACAAGCACATGCACATGGAGGAGAGATCAACTAAGTACGAACCGGAACATCACAACATACATGAACTTGACAATGAGAAGCTAGAACTAGTGAAAGGCACTTGCACATGGAGGAGAGATCAACTAAGTATGAACCGAAACATCACAACATACATGAACCTGATAATGAGAAGCTAGAACTAGTGAAAGACACTTGCACATGGAGGTGATCAACTAAGTATGAACCGGAACATCACAACATACATGAACTTGACAATGAGAAGCTAGAACTAGTGAAAGGCACTTGCACATGGAGGAGAGAGAAACTAAGTATGAACCGGAACATCACAACATACATGGACTTGACAATGCGAAGCTAGACTATATTCAGGGAGTTAGGCAAAATTTGACTTTCCAGAGTTAGGGATTATTTATGTTTTCATATTCGGGCTAGTATAAATTCTGAGAAGGCACCTTTCCTATGGGAAGCGCTGCCAAAATTTTTCTTAGTTTAAAGGAGATAGACTATATTTTTGCCAAATGGCAATTTTGGCAATTCACTCTCTATAGAGGAGATTCTACCAAAGGCCTACCTTTGCGTTGGGTATTGGCTTAGAGGTAGGCCTAGGCTTAGCTTGTAGGAGGACCTTGGGTGAGAATGTGCTATGGAGCTTTATTCTCCATACACTTATGAGTTTAGCCTGGATATTGATATGTTTTGTGTTACAAGCCCTCTTGATCGTTTGATTCAAGATTTGGACTAGATTCAGCTTGATCCCAAGAGGATCATCTTCTGTTATCACTGATAACAGGTCAGTTGCCGATTCGTCGGTTTATGATTTAACTCCAATTTATCCTCAATACTCAACCTAAAAAGCTTTAGCCATGGTGTTTTTTTTTGTTTTATTAAGGATTTCACCCGGACTTTTATTTGAATGGTCATTTATCAAAAGTACTAAGTATTTAATTATGAAAGGTTGAACAAAGGATGGGGCTTGCATGGCTAAAGCGAGGGGTATGAATATAGAGAAATGGTTGAAGTTGACTCTGGATAATGTGTGGATTTTTGGTTGACTCTTTGATACGATTGCAGGTGGATTTTTGGTTGACTCTTTGATACGATTGCAGGTATGTTCTGTGATTCAGGCCTTGGATTTGACTGCTTGCGATCACATATATGTGGCTGTGAGGAGTCCCACTATGATTTTGAGAAGTGATCATCATATACCTATTCCCCAATATATATATATATATATATTTACGCACATACCTATGTTTGGGTGTCCGCGTGGCCTAAGGGCCCACGCTTAAAGGTTAAAGTGGGGTCGAGATTGAGAAAGGAAGGGAACCCCCCTTTATTTGTTGTATGCTTCTTAAAAAGATTTCTTAGTCGGAGGTTGGTCCTGGGCCTGGATTCGAGGTCCTTGTCCAGGACATCCCAAGTCCTAAACTCTGCATGGAAGGGATCACCCCCCGCGCAGAGCCTATTTGCCCTGCCCACCGCGACAGTCAGCCTAAAGGCCGAAGGTGTCGCGGAGGCCGCACGGCTGTTCCTTCAACCGTGCACTATCGTGAAGAGGTTCACCTTCACGATACTTTGAGTTTGACACCTGAGTGTCATAAGCGATACTCAGATTCACGAAGGACCGCTTGGTTATGCGCACTACATACTACACCATCATTGCGACTGCTTGCATATTCATGCATTGCTACTCGATATGGGAAGACTCTGCGTCCGCGCGGTTTTATACTAAGTCTCGCACGCGTCGCCTATCTGATTTCTGCATCGGGAAGTTATGGGATGACTACTGAAGGAATTAGGATTGTATGCTTTGTTTTGTTTGTCTCATTTTGTGCGTGTGTGTGTGTGTGTTCTAATTTTTATGTTCTTAGAGTGGTGTACGCGTGGTGTATGGCAAGCGTCCTAGTCGACCGACGACGGGTCGCGCTTAGGACCTCCGCCCCCCAAGGCGTCGGTTCGCGTGCGGGTCCGATAGAGGCATAGAACCTCGCGTAACCCCTATGATACAACGAACGAGAAACGCCCTTGGTTGGTCCACCTCTGCGATTACCGCTGATTAGCTTTCGTAATGTGGACTGGTAGCTCGACGGGGATACGTCCACCGAAGGGAGGTGCGAGTTCCCGTAAGGTGGAGGTACGCCGTGCCCTGCGTAGGCCCTATCTTGTTGTAGGGGCTCGTGAGAGGTATGGTTGGCACACTCATCCGGAGCGGCTTGTTGAAGCTCCATGAGTATCGCGATGAGGAATAGACCAACTCCTGTGCGACGCGGTCGGGAGGGTCCCGCCCCGTTTAGTGCGGTGCTGGACCAATGCACTCGACATTGTCGGGCAGCTCATAAGCACAAGTAGACCAGAACGACTTGGTCGTCACCACTTGGCACCGGATCGAAGGGTGCAGAAGAGGAATAGTACACGACACTTCGGCGCCCAAGGCGTCCTGAACGGTAAGAGTCCGCCGGTGGAAGTTGACCGTGTGATCTGCACTTGCAAGCCAAGGCATTCCCAAAATAATGTCGAAGTTCGTGTTCAAAATGTTGAACGTCACCCACCGGTTCGCATGCATGAGGTKCGAAATACATCGGTACGGCCTCGATGTAGCGGTCGATAAGTTATTGCGTCCTTTCGTCCGCCAACTTGGTCGTCGTCGGGTTTGCATTCCTCCAAACTTGTGCGCCAAGGCCAGCCCTTTGCATACAGGCTTGGCTCATGAAATTGCGAGTCGCGCCACTATCCAACAAAACGTTGCAGGACGCTTGCCCAACTTGGATGCGGACATAGAGGAGCGGTGCGTTGTTGTCATCGTACCGCTGCTTGCGAAACTCGTGGGCCACCTTGGTAACATACGCAAGGATGTCCCCCACCGCAGCTTCGTCCTCCATCGGCGAAGTGCGAAGTTGGTGGTGCATACAAGGATAGATACTAGTGAAAATGAGCGCATAATGTTGCGCATTGCGGTCCCGGCAAGTGGTCGGTGGTCGGGAGAAGAAGCCATGCGAAATCCTCTGACGTGAGCAGGCCCAAGACCTATGTTGAACTCGCTTGCCGAATCCCGTGAAGAACCACTTGAAGACTATAAGTCGCCACTGTCGGATGGAGAAGATGTCATACACACGTCTTGTCTTTGAGCACGAGTACCCAGCGTAGGAACGAGTCGGGCAACATAGTCCTCATAAGAATATAGAAGAAGAGGACTATCGACTTCCGCATGTGCCTTGAATAGAAGGGCGATCACCCACGAAGCGACCGGTTCCGCGTCGAGAGTGTCGTCGATTCACTCCCGACGGTGCTCGGTTTTCCAATTTGCCCTTGCCTTTCGACGGGCAGCCCACTATGTCGTGGAGATCACTGTTACACCACAGACAATAGCGGAATCTCGTGCATAGCTTGTACACACGTTCGGAGAGACCATAGTGGCACCATGGGGCTGGAGCTGCTGTGTCGGGCCCGGGAATAGATGCAGTGTTTGTCTTCGTCTTGCCTCATCCTCGGGCTTTGCGGGGGCGGCTACCATCCCGGGTGGCTGCGAGTTTGTCCCTTTCATTGCTAGACACGGCCTTGCTAGAAGGGTCAGTTGGCGTTGGCGCCTCGCCCATGGCCACTTTCAACCGATGGTGATCTCTGCTCGGGCCTGCCGCAGACGAACGGTTGAGGTTTTTAGCCTCCTTGTTCGTGACAATTATATGCGCGGCCTTGTCGAAGAGCTCCGCCGTTGTCGTCAGGGTGTCCTCGAGGTGAGTCAAGGCGTTGCCCAACGCCGGACACGACCTCGTGATGAAGTAGCGTTTGACGGCCTTGAAGCCCATCTCAATGTTTGGGACGAATGTCGGCGTTGGTACTCGACAATCAAATCAACACTCAGCAACATGACTTGTTCGAAGGTCGTCAATTTGTCCATTGCCTTGATCTTCGACGGCTCTACTTGGAACCGCTTATGCCACGCTGCCTTTAGATCATCCCAGTTGATCTTGGTGTACAAGTCGGCAGCTACCATCCCGTACTTGGGCAAGATATTGTCCAACCATGCTTGGCGCGCGCCCGACCGGGACTATAACTACACGTGATGCCTGTCCTCGCTGACGTGGTGTAGCTGCAACTTGAGCTCGAACTTGCGGAACCACAGAATCAGGTCCGTCTTCGTCAAATCGCAAAAGATCTCCTGCCCATCGAACTTTGGAGTGGTCTCACGCGGTGCCGAACTCGGGTTGGTGGCGGCGGCAAAGATCTGCTGCTCCAGTTGTTGCGTGGTGGTTTGTTGTAGCTGCGCGTCGTCCTTGAGGGTTCCGACATCGATCTCCAATGCATTGAGGCAATCGGAGGTGTTGGAGGAGCTAGCATCGGGGGCGGTGACGGGTCGTTGCTCCAGCTGCTGGAGGTGGCTGTTGACTTGGTCAAACGCCTGATTGTTCGTCTGAACCGCGTCGTGGAGGCTATGGATATCCTCCTGCTGTGCAACGCACGTTGCTAGGAGATCCATGAAATGGGAGAGGAGTAGAGCGATCTTGCTTTCACTCTCTTCCATCTTACCATTCTCGGCCTCGGCTCACCAGTCCGCTGCCATTGTGAGCAAGGCTCTCTCTCCGTTGAATATCTTCTCGTGTCGTTGACTTCGTTCTTCATCGGCAGCTCTTGCTGCTGCCTCGTCTTGCTGGCGCTGCTGTTTGATTGCCAATAAACGTGCCTTTTCGGCGTCCTCTGCCTTCTTTTTCTCTGTGGATGCTACCTCATCCGCCCGTTTCTTGGCTTAGGTAATCAAAGCCGGCATCCGGGCCTCATAGGTCTCGGCCATTTCCCCGGACTTCTGATCCATGCTGGCTGTTTGTAAGCGCGTGAGCATCGACCAGGGCGGAGGACTGCTAACGTGGCACTCCCTGCTGCTGCATGGCACTGCTCGGCTGCTAACGTGACGCGGCTGTCAGAAGATGTGTCCGCCTGAAGTGGCCAGCTGACGTGGTCTGCTGACATGGCCTGCTGACGTGGCAACTCACCAATGCCGCCGCAGGGGGTACCCGGAGACAGATAGGGAAGACCAAAAGGGGCAACAACATAGGTAGGGAGGGGTGCGTGGGATAAATCGCCCAGATAAGCAGCCACTAATCAAAAAAGGAAAGTTTGAACTTTGCAAAAAAATTGAGAGAAAGAAAAAAAATACTCGTTTGCAAGTTCAGTAGGCCTCCCAATTCCCCCTAGTGTGTAATTACTAATGAGGAAAAAAATTTAAACTTTCAGACTGCACATGATTATCCGATAAAAGAATTCCAAAAATAAAATACAAAAAATATTCGGAATTACTCAGATGAGAGTACGCGCAGTTTGGAAAATGATAACTGCAAGAGGTATTTCCTGTACCATTTTCACATCTCGAAAAACAAATTTCGAAAATTAAAAAATATTCCGGATTTCCAAATAACGAGAAATTGCAAAAGGAAATCGAAATTTTTGGAAAAAATACTCTGGATTTCCGACATCGAAATTTTGAATTTTCAGAAGAACGAAAACGGAAATTTCAGGTGTTACGCTATTGCGATTTTCCACAACAGAAATAGTGGGAAAACAAAATCCACGAAGAGAAAAAAATTTTGATTTTCGGCAGTTAGGTCAAAATCACGATTTTGGGGGCTAATTAGTATGCTCTAATCAATCAATCAATCAAAACTAATTAACTACTTAGTCCCCGCGCATGTGTCAGATCAGGTTGTCCTGATTCACGTGCGGTGTTCCGATACCAACTGTTACATGCCCAGTTGGGCGATGTATATATATAGCCAAGGATCCGCCATGTGATAAAAAGGACTGAATGGACAATGCGGTGTTTGTGGAATCTCAACAAGCAATGTACATCCTGATACATACAAAATGGCACCTTGTAGCTCAGTGGAAGACTTAGATATAAGCCCTGACCTGACCGAGGCTGACCTCTCTCACGTAGTAGTACAAAGCGCAGCAGAATGCTAGAATACCAATAACAAGCCCAATCAATGTCGCAATGCAGACCAAACATACATCATCCTCATTACAAGGTGTGAAGGGGCCTGGCGCTACACACAAGAAAAACGCGCCAGGTCCAGACCATACACAGACGAAGAGGAGGGTATCAGACGGAAAAGAGGGGGAAGATGGAATGTCATCAACACCAAGTCTTCGGTACAAGTCCCAGATAATCCCTCGTCAAATGTTTAAAGCCCAATGTCGAGTCAAGATCCAAATGTCACCAAGCCCGCTCTCTCGTAGTATGTTGATGCAGTGAAGTCAGCTAGCGAGAGGGTGAGAGGGAGATGGTGGACTGAGAAGAGGAAGAAGAAGAACTCTCTCTCTCTCTTTCTCTCATGTGCCAGGTACTAACCTGTGAAGATGGCACTGTGCTGCAGGTACCTCGACGACGAGTTGGAGCTATGGCGCTGCAGGTAAGTGTCCCTGGCCTCCGCCCAATCTCTATCTCTCTCTAGTGCTACTCTATCTCCTAATAGTGCCCAGCACTGAAGACTATTGCTAACGCTACTACTACTAGTGCAGTGCTCCTCCAGAGTGCTGCTGCCGAATCCTGAAGACTACCTCCTACCTCCTGAACTACACGTGAAGTGCCTGGGAAGTCCCCATGAACTATCTACAGCATGTAGGGCGCGCCAGTCTTATTTAGTGCTGGCCCGTCTAGGAGGCTGCTCTTGCAAATGCCAAGACATGCCAGACCCTAGCGTTGAAGATCAAACAAAGGTTGTCTTGAAACCAGGCCCAAAATGGCCTGTGCTAAAACCCTGGTCTGGTGCCTGAGTTTCAGGGCAGGTCGATCTTATGGGGGGCTGAAAATGGCCCTCCGTTTCAGGCTGAAAAAACTCGGGGCCTGGAGGGCCTTGTTTTAGGCTGAAACGACACAGGGCCTGTAGGCCCTTGTTTTCAAGCTTTTAGGCTGAAAACGACACAAGGCCTATAGGCCCTTGTTTTCAGGCTTTTTTTTAAGGTTGAAAACAACACAGGGCCTGAAAATGGCCCTCGTTTCAGGCGCAGCATGTTGCAGGTGCAGCATGTAACAATCAACAATGAACTTGCACTTAAACTTTGTTCACAACAACTGTACAACTTGCGGCTATGGCCGCTGAACACTGTCTCAACCACCAGCCTCACTCTCCCTTATGCATGCAAGTACGAGGATCACCCTGAATGTCCACGCTGCACAAACACACACACACTGTCTAAACTCTGTCTGCACCAACAGCTGGGCGACTATGGTCGCCGTCGTCTTCCTCCTCACAGCTATGGCCACCGGTGTCTTCCAAACAGCCCACTTCCACTCCAGGCACCTGCAGCTCTCCACGCACAAGAAACCAAAGCAGCTCTTCAGCATGGCTCACAGGCGAATGAATGAATGGCTGGACGCTGCCTCTTTATTTATACTTCATCGGAGGTGCTCGGGCCTGCCTCAAACGTGTGGGCCTAGGCCAAAACAAGTGGCCCAGGCACGCTTCCAAACGTTTGGGCTTCTAGGCCAAAACGTGTGGAACCCACAGCGTGGTCCAGAACCTTTACCACGTGCAGCCCCTACCCCTGGTACTTGCTGACTGGACTGGCCTACAGGGACCTACGACCTTCTAGAGCCTACAGACTTACAGACACACTCTAGGCCTAAGTAGACTCGGATAGAGAATTCTAGAACAGACCTTCCTAGGCCTAATGGTAACAGACCTAACTCCTAATCTACAGACCTAGGGATCGAGTCTCGCATAGATCGTTGGGCTTATGTACAGGGTACAGGGTAGGTCTAGGGATCAAATCTCACTCAGCACACAGGGTTAAGGTACAGGGTAGGTCTAAGGATCGAATCTCACTCAGCACACAGGGTCAATGTACAGGGTTTGGGCACAGGTCCAGGGATCGAATCTTTGTGTCAGCAAATGTCGAGTCTACTAGTGAAATCATTTCACTCCCGCCGTTCTAACCTCCAAGAACATTCTAACTCAGGATAGGACTTTACCCTTTCTTTCTCTCTCATAAGCGCGTACTATGCCGAGAGCAATTTCTAAGAGCTTTGTTCTGGTAAACCATAGGTCGTCATCGGGTTCCTGGTATGCGAACCTTACCTTATACTATTTATGGGGACGACCTCGACCTCCTGTCCTAAACACGTCCTCTTCCACTATGCGATCTATATCGTAAGCACCATCCATGTCTGGCGGAATCATCGATCTCCTGGAAGGAAATCTGTCGGACGTGGTGCAAGGCAATAACTTGGACGCATGAAAGACTAGGTACATGTGGAGGTGTGGTGGAATCTCTATTGTATATGATGGGTCGTCCTCTCCTCCTTTGACTTCTAGGACAGGCCACGGTCCTCTATACGCAGGTAAGAGCTTCTGCGAGATGTTTTCCTCTGGTGCAAACTCCTTTGACTTGACCCAGACTAGATCGCCTACCTGAAACTGTGAAGGTCAGCGGTGTTTGTTAGCTTGCTTTATCATCCGGTGTTGGGCTTCCCTAAGATTGCCAATGACCCTGGCGACTTCTTGCTCGTGGTGTAACGCAAACTCTCCCGTGTCGGGTGGTAGTCTTTGTATCTGGTCCTGGTTTAATCCTTCAAACGGTCGCCTTGGTCTAAAGGACTTATGTAGTTCATTACGAGTTCTGCAGGTAGCTAGGTGAACACTGCTATTATAGGCACTTGCTACTTTGGGAAGCATATCATCCCAGTTTACCCGATCTGGTCTAATGTACATTCTTGGTAGCTACTGCAAGATCTTGCTGCTCTGTTGGTCGTTAGTCTCTGGGTGTTGTCCTGACAACATCAGCAACTTAGACCCATAAACTTTCATAAGATCTTGGCAATTCTGGCTAGTAAACCATGTATCCCTATCACTTACTATGGACAGCGGCATGCCATGCTCGCTTACCCAGAAATCAAAGAACTTTCCTATTACTAAATTTGTTCGCGCTTCTGTCGATAGCGAAACAAAAACTGCATACTTACTAAATCGATCTACTATGACCATGACTTGAGTCTTGTCGTTCCTACTTTTGACCCAAGTATCCATGAAATTGATGGAAACCGACTCTCCGAGTCCTAACAGAATAGGCAGAGGTCTAGGATGACCTAATGGTGCTCTAGTTGTCGTCTTGTTGCGCAAGCAAAGTTTGCAGTTGCACACATACTCTATGCAGTATGCTTTCATACCTGGCCACATGTATGACATCATCAAATTACCTAGAGTCTTTTGCCATCCGAAGTGTCCTATATCGTGGCATTCCCCTAGAATCAGGCTGGGAGCACATAGTCTGTCAGCGACATTGGTCTTCTCGAACAATAGCCCGTTCGTGGTTCAGTAGTGTGGCTCACTATCTGGGGCTTCCTTTACTCTTTTCAGCAGTTCACTGCAGATCGAGTCCTGTGCATAGGCATTTCTTACTTTCTGCTGCAGGTCGTCCCTATGTCTAGATAGTGCACTATCGCACCGAAGTAGTCAGCTATTCTACTCAGAGCATCAGCTACCACGTTATACTTTCCTTTTACTGGCTTTAACTCAAAGTCAAATTGGTCTATCTCAGGAGCCTATCTAGTCAACTTGGGCGTCATCTTAGCCTGTCTTTAGCCATCTAAGAGTCTCATGATCGGAATACACCTTGAAGTGCCTCCCAAGCAGGTAGTGTTTCCAGTGGTCCAAAGTCTGCCTGAGAGCGTAGAGTTCCCTCTTGTATGTCGATGCTGCTCCTTTTCTGAGGGCAGCCTGGCTGACATGAACTCTACGGGTCTATAACCGTTGCCGTCATCGTGCTGAAAACAGCACCTATGCCATACTGACTAGCGTTTGTACTGACAACAAATGGAAGTGACGGGTCAGCAACCTTGAGGACAGGGTACTCTATTAAGGCCTTCTTCAATTTCTTGAAGGCTAGCGTGCAATCCTGGTCCCACTTCCAAACCGTCTTTTTCTTCAGTAACCTACGAAGGGAAGCGACGATCGTGGAGAAGTTCCTTACAAACTTCCTGTAATAGTTAGCCAATCCAAGGAACGAGCATAACTTTGTCAGCGTCCGAGGAGTCGGCCAGTCTCTAATAGATGCAATCTTACTGTCCTCAAGCCGAATGCCATCTCTGTCTAGTACATGGCCTAGGTAAAGGACCTCTGTCTTGGCCCACTCACACTTCTTCGGGTTAATCTTGAAGTTAGACTCTCTCAGCTTTCCTAGAATCTGCCTCAGATGGCCCTCATGCTCCTCGAGGGTCTTGTTGAACACTAAGATGTCATCTAAATACTCTACAACGAACCTATCTAGCCACGGCCTAAACAAGTCGTTCATGCAGCGCTGAAATGTGGCCGGTGCATTAGTTAGTCCAAACGGCATCACTATGAACTCGTAATGCCCATACCTTGTCCTGAACGTTGTCTTATACTGATCGTCAGGGTGGACCTTTATCTGATGGTAACCTGACTTCAAATCTATCTTTGAGAAATACTTGCATCCCTGCAATCGATCTAACAGGTCATCTATGCGAGGCAGCGTCTCTGCATTCTTGATTGTGATGCGTTCAATCCCCTGTAGTCTATACACAGACGCAACTCTCCCTCTTTCTTTGGGACGAATAGAATAGGTGCGCCGAAGGTGACGAGCTGGGCCTTACCCATCCTTTCTCCAAGAGCTCGTCTAACTACCTGCGAAACTCTTCTAGCTCCTTGGGAAACATCCGGTAGACTGCCCCTTTGGGCGTCCTACTACCAGGTTCTCTCTCTATACGGTGCTGGATCGGTCTGGGCACCACTCCTGAAGGTGCTTCAGATAAGTTTTTGTACTCTTCCAGCAAACTGGCGATAGTAGGATGGGTTTTCTCTTCTTCCTTCGGCTCGTCAGAAATCGGCCTAACATAGGCTACAAACACCTGCTCTTCGAGCAGCTCCTTTCGCACAAGTCTGGCAAATGCAAGAGCGATGAGGCAGCAATCGGCAAGGGGGTTATCTACCCTAGACTCATGGTACAGGCGCACTTGCTTGACTTTGACTGACGCACTAGAGAGCCTACACTCGTGCTCTCTAAGGTGTAGTGTGGCTCCTGCTGCCTCTCCCCAATTTGTACCTAAAACAATATCAACCGGGAGATTCTCTTCTACGAGGAGGGTCAAGGAATGCAACACCTTCTCTACCTTCCCTTCTTTCTCTAGGCGAAAGTAGGCATGGACCCCCTCAACGTACTCGTCGACACGCATCCTATTGTTGTTTGCAAGAATGTTGACTACAAGTTCTTCCAATCGTTGGACTTTCAGATTGAGCTTCTCAACGCTTTACGACTAATATAGTTTCTTGTTGCCCCACTGACTATCAGGGCTCCTACCCTAGCTCTAAAAATCTCTACGTCTGCGAGGATCAGTTGTCCTTTACTATCCTTTTTCATCTTGGCCTAGGCTTGCCTCCTCTCTCTCAACTCTTCAGCTAAGCCTGTGAGGGAAACATCTAGAGAGACCCTGACACAAGCAGTCTCTACACAGCCTACAAGACGCTGGCCTGCAACCTCTGCCATGGAGATATGTGAAGTGGGAGACTCTGCTTCACGCGCACGCTCACATCCACATACTCTTAGGGTGAGGGAAGTTGCAACCCCTATCGGCGACTATCTTTTGTTGCCCCAGACGCAGCACGGTTCCTATACCTAGGACAAAATTTTATAATGTGGCCTGGGTCCCCGCAGAACACGCACTGAGACCTATTAATGCAGTTTTGTCATACTTTCTCTTCTATACCCAGATCTTCCCAGGGTCCGCCCTCGGGGGTGCCACCATCCCTATCTGGGGGGTGACCGACTAGAACGCGGACGGTTAGACGGGGTACCTCCCCTTCCTCCCGCTCGGCGGTTGCCGTTGCAGCCAACCCCCTGGCCGCTATATCATCGACCACCTGGGGCCCGGCCATTCTGGCCGGACCTTAGTCCTCCTCCCTGCGGCCTCCCTCCAGCCCGCGACAACGGCGTAAGTTCTCCCCTGGCCTGCGCCGCTGTCCTCCTCCTCTAGTCCCCACTCGATATCAGAGTAGGGAACCTCCTCAACACCACCTTCCTCCATCGTTAGAATCAAACTGTCTTTGGCCTTAATTTGGCCAAAGATGGTGCGTCCATTCCACGTTTTTCCTTTAGTTAAGTCTTTGTGCCAGAACGTGCCAACTGGCGATGCTTGGGCGGCGAATGAGACAGCCTCCCTGCTAAGGACATCATACGTCGTGCCCTGCTGGTTCCTCTTTTCAAAAAAATGTCCCTGAATGTTTTCAGGCACGGCACGATAAAAGAGTTGGACTAATTGGGCATCCGTAACTCCATGTCCAGGAAACCCAATTAATTCGTCGATGGCAAATTTAAGGGCATGCACACTCCTCCACTTTTGTGTGTGGATCATCTGCAACTTGTCGGAGGCTTTAAGTCCTCGAGTGACATCCGAATATATTTCCCTAAGGGACTTAAAGAACTCAGAGAGGGGAGTGACTCTCGAATATGTGACCATATCATTGTCACAATTCGCGGCCCGTGCTAGTGATCTTGCGAAACTAGTTGCTTCGCCTTGTAGCGCCTGGAAGGCCACTAGAACATGGTATTCTGGTGCAACTCCCTGTAGGTGTAGATAGGAATTGACATTAGCTTCCCAATTGTCAAAGTTCTCCCCCTTCTTTACACTGAAAGGCTCAGGAAAACGGACCTTGACTTTCTCGCGACGTGGTGGGGCCAGCTCCTCCTCCTTAGGGGCCACTAACTTGGCGCCTTCAATGGCGCTAGTGCAGAATTCCTTCGTGCAACTAATCGCAAGGTGGACCTGGTCCACCAAGTATTTCATCATGTCGCGTGCAAAGTCTTTAAATACAGCGTGTATCGACTCTAACGTGATGTCATGGCTGCGAACATGCTGCATTTGTTCTCGTTGTGCTTCCAATTGTCTGACTCTTTCTTGATTCAGGCGCAATCTCCACGCTGCCTATTTCTCTTGCTCTTTAGCTCTCCAAGGGGTCCCTCTTTGCCTCCAACTCTCTCCTCACCGGTTCTCTTTCTTTTGGGGCTAGTATCAACTCAATCTCTCTATCTTCCCCCAACTCCAAATGTGCTACCCATTCTTCAATCTTCTTATCTACCTCCTCTGAGGTGGTCCCACTCGTACTTGCCTCACCCGTCTTTCTTTCCAACGGCTCCTCTGTTTTGACTTCCACTTCTCTCTCTACTTCAGCCTCTATTGCTGCCATCTTCTCCTCCTGCTCCTTCCACCTTTCCATTTCTTCTTCCATCTGCTTCTTCTTCGCCTCCTGTTCCTCTACCACGGCCAACATCTTTGCCTGCTTGATCAGTTCCCTCCTCTCCATTTGCTCCCTTTTCTCTCTCTGGAGGGTGGCAGCTCTCTCTTCTTGTTCCTTGCTATAGGGGGTGGTACTAGTTCCAAGCCAAAGGGCCACCATGGTGAAACTGCACAATCAACAACGATTTCGCGCCTCAACACGTAGACCGACCAGGTTAACGTATATCTAGGGGACTTCTACTTACCACACGGGTTGGACTCACGGCTCTACAACTACATTCACAGAGTCCTATCGACCTGGACAGAAGTGACAGGGAGATATGGCTGACTAACCCTGACAGACTCGACGTCAGCAAATACCAAGGTGAAGGTGCACACCCATAGGGTAGGGGATAGGTCAGGGCTTGGAGAGAGAGTATCATTCGTCTTGTCGCTCGAGCCGGGTCGACGCTCCGGTCATTGGTCTTGGTCAACTCGCCGGTCAACGGACCTGGTCAACGCTCTGGTCGGCTCTGGTCAACGCCCTTGCTCAACTCTCGATCAACGTTGGTCAACACCCAATCACCTCCGATCAACGTTGGTCAACAATCTTGGTCAACCCTCCAACCTCTCGGCTATGGCGGACCTTCTTCTTCTTCGTCACTATCTTCGTCTTCTTCACCTTGGCTATGGCCGACTTTGTCTCCCTCCTCGTCAACTTACTTCTTTCTTCTCTCTGTGTCTCTCTTTGCTTCTTCCTATTGGTCATCCTCTTCCCCAAGCTTGGCAGCTATGGCTGCCGCCCCCGTCCCCCTTCTCTCTCTCTCTCTCTCTCTCTCTCTCTCTCTCTCTCTCTCTCTCTCTCTCTCTCTCTCTCTCTCTCTCTC